ATTGTCATTGCAGTATGTATTTAGTGTGACGCTGCACTCTGATATTGTAGAAGATAAAAAAAAAAAATAAAAATGAAAATTAAGTGGAACATTTATTTCAAGTTGCACATTTTGATGTGACATCAAATTTCTTAACCCCACCTCTCCCTTGTCATAAATTGTCATAAATGTGTTACCCCCTTACCCAGGTGTGTGACATCAATTTTGGACAGCACCTAAAGAGAATTGTGTAAACATCTGTTGTTATTTTACCTAGACTTTATGTTGATTGTTCAGAAACTTACAGCAGCTGATAAAATGTTAACCCTGAATGGCTAAGGTACAGGTTAATAAAGTATGGGATGTGGTATATTCTCATTTAGCAGACTTTAAATAAAATAAGGAACTTTATATATTTGCATGGAGTGAACTTTTGAAAAAGAGAGGGACATATATTTCCTTATCACTGATGAAGAAACAGATCTGCTGATGCATTGTGTGCTGGTTGATAAGGTCTTTGGCTTGCTCTGATATATAAGTAGAATTTATCACATGACTAGCATGTTATTTAGGTTGATATGTCTATATCTTATTCATGTTATGTAAAGCATAAAGTACATGAAATGATTCATCTGAATGTATTCCCCAGTCATTTGACTACACTATTTTGCAGCTTCATCCTGTAAACACAGGATAAGAGAAGTAATATCTTTAAATATGCATCAAAACACTTGTACATACCAGACAAGTAGGGCCAGAGATATTTCCAGTTTATAGAATCCTGTTATATATAACCCTTATCTAAACATCATGAAATAAACATTGAAATATGGCTGCCATTAAAAAAAAATAGTACAGTAACATTACTTAGCTGCTTCTCAAAAGCCTACTTAACATAATTCTATCCAATTTGACAGAAATCTTCCTTGTATGAAGGTTTTGTACAGATGATGCTGACCTGCAGTCATTGTTACTAAAAATAGAAAACCCTTTAAATATTTCTTCTCAGACACTTCTCAGGAGCTTTTGACAGACTTGGGCCGAAAAGCACTCTGGTATGAATGGCTTTCAAAATTGTGTGTTGATGCCAATTCACAAATCAAATATATAGTTGCCTTTTCTAAAACCAGAGAAACCTTAAAACAAATTCTTTTTAGAAACCACTCAACACTGTTTGACAACTTTAACAGAATGCATTATGAGATTTAGGGCTTGCAGTTGATGCCAATTGCTGAACAGATTTGATAAACTTTGAGAGGAAACATACTGGTGTAATAGGCTTTTAAATTTATACAGTGATGCTGATACACTATCATAAACATGGCTGCTGCTGCTGTTATTAAAATATAAAAAGAAACTTTAAAAACATCTTAAAAGGTAGTAAACAGAATTTGACTTATGACTGAATGCATGTTATCAAATTTGAGAAATATTGGTATAAAGGCCTTTCAGATTTCTAAAAATGATGCTAATCTGCAATTAAATATGGAAACAGAAAAAAAACAACAAAAAACAAATCCTAAATGAGTTATTTTCAGAAATTGCATAACAGAATTGATGAAATTAGATTGAAAAAATTCTGGTATTGAGGTTTTAAAATTTATACAAAATAGTACCAAAGAATTTTATCCACTATCACTGTCAAAAGCATATAGGAATAAAAAGCAACTCATTCCCCAGTGTGAATAAGCCTTATAGTGGTTTCTGATTGGTTAAATGTTAGTGATCATGAAATTGTACAAGTATGGATTTCAAATAACAACAAATCTCTTTTGATTTAGACTGAAGTACTCTTGATACCATTAGAAATTAACAGAACTAGGTCAGCTAACATCAATGATTGTACAGTCAATCATGGTAGACTGAAATCTTTGATTTGACTAGCAGCTGCAAAAAGATTTCTTACCCAAAGTCATCCTTCTAAATCTCAGTTTTGTGAATAACACTGCCCAGATCATTTTGTTTGAGTATTTGATGTGAATTACACAACATAACCTTTTTTAGGGTCTACACTAAGACAACTTTAACAGAATGGTTATGAGATTTAGGGCTTGCAGTTGATGCCAATTGCTGAACAGCATTTGATAAACTTTGAGAGGAAACATACTGGTGTAATAGGCTTTTAAATTTATACAGTGATGCTGATACACTATCATAAACATGGCTGCTGCTGCTGTTATTAAAATATAAAAAGAAACTTTAAAAACATCTTAAAAGGTAGTGAACAGAATTTGACTTATGACTGAATGCATGTTACCAAATTTGAGAAATATTGGTATAAAGGCCTTTCAGATTTCTAAAAATGATGCTAATCTGCAATTAAATATGGAAACAGAAAAAAAAAAACAAAACAAATCCTAAATGAGTTATTTTCAGAAATTGCATAACAGAATTGATGAAATTAGATTGAAAAAATTCTGGCATTGAGGTTTTAAAATTTATACAAATAGTACCAAAGAATTTTATCCACTATCACTGTCAAAAGCATATAGGAATAAAAAGCAACTCATTCCCCAGTGTGAATAAGCCTTATAGTGGTTTCTCATTGGTTAAATGTTAGTGATCATGAAATTGTACAAGTATGGATTTCAAATAACAACAAATCTCTTTTGATTTAGACTGAAGTACTCTTGATACCATTAGAAATTAACAGAACTAGGTCAGCTAACATCAATGATTGTACAGTCAATCATGGTAGACTGAAATCTTTGATTTGACTAGCAGCTGCAAAAAGATTTCTTACCCAAAGTCATCCTTCTAAATCTCAGTTTTGTGAATAACACTGCCCAGATCATTTTGTTTGAGTATTTGATGTGAATTACACAACTTAACCTTTTTTAGGGTCTACACTAAGGCTTGTCTGATATTACTGCATATTTTGCCTGGTTACATGATAAATTGTGAACTTGAATGTTAAGGTCTTAGTATTTGGTCTTGGACTAAAATTATTTTGTTTATGATCATCTTTGTCACTCCAGTAAAATGATTGTTCTTTTTATTTTCAGGAATCACTTCCTTATTGTTATTTCATCTTTCTTTGACAAGTATATTAAAACCAGTATATTTAGAATGTCCTCTAATTATCATGCACCATACCACAAGAAATGCATGCAAACTGATAGCAATGGTGTTACATAATAATTAATAGTGGCTAAACTAGGTTTTCAACCTGATTGTGCTTTTCATGACAGTTTTGTGGTGGCAGTAATCATGATATAATAATAATTATTGCTGCCTTCTTTGTAGGATAGTGTGGCAGCTCTACTGCTCAACTCCTAAGACAGTTTCTGGTCTTATCTGCCAAAGCAATAAAGATGTTTGATCATACTGTTTCATTAATGATAGCAGAAATTTAAACTTTGGTTTTCTTATTGTAGTTTGCAGGTAAATCCCAGATACATAAATTTGAGAACATTTTATCACCATTGAAGCATTTGAGATCTTTACAGTATCTTTTATGCCCTTAAAAAACTCCTGCTTGCTTCACAATGTTGCTGATAATGTGCTCAAAGTGCTATTAAACATCAACCAACCAGCAACAATAACAGCAACATTATCTTGCATTATCTTGGATAAAGCAGGTCAGTTTTGCTAAGGTGTTTGGTAATATGCTTTCATATTAAGAAGTCGAATTAGGGTCAGATTCAGAACATAGCATTATTTGTTCTTGAAGAAAACAGTTGAAAAAGTGCTTTTTGTTGCTTAGGAACTAGATGTAGATGCTAGGCCAAGTGTTATGGCCACATTGTTCCTGTAAATGGTAAACCATGTGCCAGAGTCAGCCTAAGGCTGATTGGACCTATTTGCTCCAGCCTGATTGGATGTTCCTGTTATTAAATTTTAAAAATATATACTGTTTACAGAGAGAAATTAATTTTAAAGTGATGGAAGAAAATTTTAAGTTAAATATAATAAAAAACTTGTTTAAAAGTTTTTTTCCAAATGCCGTGCTCTCAGAGGACCTCACTCATAAATCCAGGAGCCCCTGGATCAAAATGATCCATATCAGCCCCCACATTTGCTAAGGCTGTTCCTGCCATTTGCAGTAGCAATGGTTTAGCTGTACATGCTAAATAGAGTGATATAGCCACAGGTTTAGATGTGGATACTAAATCAAGAATGTATGATCACAGTTTAGCTGTAAATACCAAGTCAAGTGCTGTGGTAATAGTTTAGCTGTATATGCTAAATCAAGTAATATGACTACAGATTACCTAGGAATAATACCAAGTGCCAAGGGATAACAACAACTCCATTGCCATTGCTACTATTGCATAGCAGTCTTTTCATATATATATATATATATATATATATATATATATATATATATATATATATATATATATATATATATATATATATATATATAGTGCTGAAAATGCAAATACCCAAGTAACTGTCCACATGTCTGTGCAGACCCTAATGAGAAGGGATTTACTGGTAAACATTCTTATGATATATGTGACAATATACTGTTGATGATACTGTAGCCAGCTGTTTTAACAGCACTAATCTATACATTCACAAGTTATGTCTCATATTCATGGCAGCCCATTTTGACTGTAATATCTAGCCAGTTGATAAAGTTGTATGATGGTCCCAATAAATAGACATGTTAATTGAGAGTATATTCATCTATTTACAGAAGGGTACACTGGATCATGAAAAGCAATAGATTTGAATTACTGTTAAAAAAAATCTACTAACCATGAAACACAATGAATAGCCTGCAATTTTGGTTTCACTTATAAAAGACCTGTTCATTTTGATACGCACCAAGAAATAATACACAACTCTAAAAGCCAACACATAATTTTTGTCATCACATATTATTAGTCAGCATATTGACATATATTAGTCAACACATAATTTTAGACAAACCATAATAATGTATCAACATATAACATTAGTCAACACATAATTTTTGTCAACAGATAATTTATTCAACATATTAGTCAATACATAACTTTAGCCAACACATAATGCTAATCAATACATACTATTGGTGAACAAATAATATTGGTAATTGCTTCAATAGCATAGTGATTAAAGCATCTGTCTTGGATGCAGGAGGTCGCAGATTCGAACCCTGGCCTAGTCATACCAAAGACTTATACAAATGGTACTTTCAGCTTTATCACTAGGTGCTCAGCATTTAGAGATCAGTGTTAGGACTGGCCAGCATGGTGTCAGAATATTGTGACTGGGTGGGACATCATGATGCATGTCAGTGGCATGATGCCCCAGTGCTAAACATCTCTATAAACGGCTATGCTGCGGCTATGCTGCAGACAGTGACGTGATAGGACTTAACATTTTTTTTAACAGCTATATTAAACATCTAAATAGCACACACACACACACACACACACACACACACACACACACACACACACACACACACACACACACACACACTTAATAGTCAACTTATAATATTAGTTGACATATAATATCAATCAACATATGAATTAACATTTGCCACTTCAGAGCTGGACAGAAATACTTGCATGTGGCCATAGAAAATGGACAGAGGAAGATGGGTACTTCATAGCATATTCATAGTATATTGTCTCATATACAGAAATCTAATTTCCATTTAGCAAGCTATTATTGCTACCAGAAACACATACAAATTGTTAATGTCAGGTGCAGAATTGATCCCAGATAGAACTACTGAAATAGTTGGACTCTTTTGCATAGATACCAACAATGATCATGATTAAACTTTATTTGAAAGATTTAGAGAAGATCATCATCATCATCATCATCATCATCATCATCATCATCATCATCATCATCATCATCATCATCATCATCATCATCATCATCATCATCATCATCATCATCATCATCATCATCAATCCATAAACCTAATAGATAGTTGGGGTATTACAGTTGACTGTAACCTGTCCTCTCCATCTTTCCCTGTTCTTTACTGCCCTTTGGGAATCTCCAAATCACATACCTATTCACTCCCTAATGTTATCTTCCCGCCTTTTTTTCCCATCTGCATCTTCTTCTGCACCCTGGCACTTTACCTTGCAAGATTGTTTTTGCCATTCTTGGCGATTTTGAGACATGACTGTACTACTTCAGATTGTGCTTTTTTTTTTACAGTGGTTAAGAAATCTTCTAGGCTACAATGGCTTGTTGGATCCTGTTGAGGACTTCTTTGTTGGTTATATGGTCAATGTATGAGATTCCCAAGATCTTGCTGTAGCATCTCATTTCGTAGGCTTGAATCCTTCTTTGTAGATCTGATGTGAGCATCCATATTTCACAAGTATAGAGAAAAATGAATATAACAAATGAGTGCATCAGCCTTATTTTGGAACCAAAAGCAATGTTGGTATCTTTCCATATTGGTCTCTCTGCATCAGCCTTATTTTGGAACCAAAAGCAATGTTGGTATCTTTCCATATTGGTCTCATTTGCTGCAGGTGTCTGGGCATTCCTGCAAAGTAGTTCTGGTTTGGAGCCCTCGTCTGTGATAATTGATCCCAAGTTCTTGAATTTTTTTAACTCTTTCCAGCTTCTGTCCACTGAGCTTTTTTTCTGCACTGATGCCATTGGTGTTGTTTCTCATAAGTTTTTTTTTTGGTGCTAATCTCCACGCCGTATGCAGCAGAGGTTCTTTTCATCTTTTGCTAAACCAACAATATCATCTGTAAAGTGAAGATTGGTGATCTTCCTTCGATGATGACAGTGCCATTTCCAGGAAAATGTTGAAGAGTGAAGGTGACAGTATACATCTCTGTTTGACTCAACTGTTGTTCAAAAGCAATCTCCTCTGCTACAATTGATGAGAAGAGTACTGGTGGCTTTATCATAGAGGTGCTCAACAACTTGCACCAGGTTTGAGCACCAGGTTGTACTTCCAACTAGTGGCCCATAAGGCTGCATGCCAATTACCCTATCAAAGGCCTTTTTGAAATTTATAAAGATGTGGTATAGATTCTGCTGAAGCTGAAGGTATTTCTCGCAAAAGAGTTCGAGATTGCAGACTTTTTCTGTGGTGCACCTTCCAGCTTTGAAGCATGCTCTGTTCTTCAGTAATAATTTTCTCTGTTTGAGGCTTTAGTCTATTTAGAATTATCTTCGGGATGACTTTGTTTGGGTGACTGATCAAAATGATGGTTCTTTAGTTGTAGCATAGTTGTAGGTTTCCTTTCTTGGGGAGTGCAATGACCAAGGATTGAGTCCATGTGGTGGGCTGTTCTCCTGTCTTTCATATATTGTTGCAGATTGTTATTTCGACTTGAGAATCTATTGATCTTCTGTGAGGCAGTTTCCTGATTTGACTTGGTGGTAGCTTTCTCTTGTTTATGGGTTGTGAGATCTTTTCCCAGTTGATATGCCATTTTGCTGTCATTTCTACTCAGACTGTCTTTCATATTTGAGGAATTGTCTTTCTCTCCAGGATTCCTTTGCCTTTTTCATGCTTTTCCAGATCATGGTGTTTATATTTCTGTATTTTCTTGCTCCATCACAAATTTCTTTTCCCTTTTGTTGCATAGTTCAAGGATATCTGTTGTAATCCAATGTGTCTTTCTTTGACAATGTATGCCACTGTTTTTTCTAGCTCTGCTGTCACAGCTGTGTTGATTGTGTTTGTTAAGGACTATAGGTCGGTGTCTTGACTGTCCAGGGTTATCGAAGGTACAAATTTACTACCTATCATTGCTTGGAAGGCTTCTTAGGCATTTTGATCATTTTATTGCAGAGGCTAGACATTGTCATTAATAAATCATGGTCACTTCCAACATCTGCTCCTGAAAAACTTTGTGTTCTAGTGATATTCAGTCCTGTGCAGAATCATTTTTTTCACCAAGATGTAGTCAGTCTGGTTGTGATGTTGTCCATCTGGACAACCAGGTCCATTTTCTAGATGCTTTGTAAGGACCAGATGTGTTGGCTAGCACAAGATTGTTGTAAGCAGAAAACTCCAATACCCTGATTCCTCTTTCACTTGTTTCTGCTTTGCAGAAGAGTCCATAGGTGCCTTACCAGTTTGTCTGTGAATCAACCCCGACCTTTGCATTCCTGTCTTCTTGTACAAACCTAATGTCCTTCTTGGGTGAGTTTTCAATGACATCTTGCAGTTTGGTTGTCATCATAGCTAGATGTGGGTGTGTAGGCCTGTATGATTGTGATGTTGAAGGGAGTTGCCATCAGGCAAATGCTAATGAGAAGCAACCTATAATGCTGTTCACAATGCCCTTGTGGACAAGAAATCCAATGCCATTATTGTGTTTGTCCCCTCTTTCGCTGAAGTAAAGCTTGTGCCTTTCATCTTTTGTTATTTCGCCATAGTTTTTCAAGCGTATTTTTCAGAGACCAGTAATGTTCCAGTTGTACCTGTCAAAGTCATGAGAAGTTCTTTCAACTTTCCCACAGCCTTCAGTGTTCTAATGTTCCATGTAACTATGCTGATATTGTCTCTCCCACAGACCTAGTGGTATTGGGGTGCTTAGAGGAGGTACTTGCTTCCATATCTTGAGATCAGAAAAAGTGTCTGTTGTTTAGTTTGGTTGAATCTTCAACAGCACAGCAAGAAAAGTAGGTTATAATGGTTCTGAGGCTGTTGAGATAAAGTACCTAGCTTGAAGACACACATGCTAGCTAACCCATCTGATTCAACAATAGGAACAGAACCTTGTGCCCATTTAGTTTTGTGTCTGGCTTGTTTATACTGTGTTTGTGATTCTTATATGTAATTGCATAAAAACAAAGGAGAAAACTAAAGGATGTTTGGGGGGAGACCTTATTTGTTTGTTTAGTTCAAACAGCCTGATTTGATCATGGTAGGATTATCAGCCAGTCCACTTATGTACCAGTGGTAACAAGGTCATTCAAAGCTGTTTGGATAAGAATGGATGAAGTTAAATGTGGCAAATGTTTATTTGAAGTGAAAGACAGATACTTATTTTAATTTTGATACAGCTTCATTTGATTGTATTGATTTAAGCTATCTTACGAAAATAAAAATATACAATACATAATATTTGCAATTGTTTCCATTACATCATACCATGAATTAAACCTTATCAGGTACTTTCTGACAATAAAGACTTGAAGTTTTAAGATGTAAAATAAAGGTACAGTATGCAACTGATAGGTATGTTATATTTGAGGAAAACACCTATTAGCTGGCATGTGACTATTTCCTACACAGATTGAAGACTGTGACACAGTCTTGGACCTATTAGATGATGCCTTTAATATAAGTTTTTGAAACCACATCATATATATATATATATATATATATATATATATATATATATATATATATATACACATACACACACATACATGTATATATATATAATTCATGAAAAATTACATTGAAGGAAAAACGTTTGCATTCACTGAGATAATTTTATCATAAAGATCATTGAAAAAAACATGACAATCTCAGCAATTAGTCAGTTTGAATATTCCCAAGAACTGAGCTGTTGCCATGTATTTTAACAGTGTTTCAGCTTTAGATTTAAGTAATATATTAGTAAAAGGGAGAATGCATGGGATGATGACATGCAAGGTAACCCAGTAAGGAATTCTGCAGAGTATTCATGATTTCCATGGAGAACCATGGATTTCTGCAGAAAATATTTCTGCTTATATAGAAAATATGGATGTGAGATAGACAGGGAGAGTTGAACTCATGGCAGTAACAATGCTTATGACATGGTCACAGTGCTTATTATGAGGTTCACCTCACAAACTTACCCAGATTTTAATTTTGAGCATAGGTAATTTGGGGGTGTGGAGGGGTGGGATGGGGGTGAGTTTTCACTGAAAGACTCCTTAAGCAGTCTAAAATAATTAATTAATGGTCCTAAATAATAATGGTGCCAGTCTGATGTCTAAGATGGCCACCATAGCAGCTCTTTTCAAAATCTTGTTTGCTCTAGTCCTCTTGAATGAAAGTTTTATGGCATGGGGTTGACGCCAGAAAACTTTTTGTGAATCATTCATACCTGTGTCAGAACCAGGATTTTAAACCCGTAAATTTACAAATTTTGATCAGGAGATTGGCTTCTAAAAAGGGAGATTTGTTATTGGCATAAATTTTTGCATGTTTTAAGTTAAATTTGTCACAA